ATTATTGTCTCTACAGTTTAGCACAAACAGGTCTCTGTATACACCGAATCAAAATATGGCAACCAATTTGAATAACTATTGTTCTGGACTGACTACCGACTGACTAGCCTCCTATACATGTGAAAATGCTTCTATGTTTCCATGTGAACACGAGGCTAGTCAGTTGCTAGTCAGTGGAAAACAACAGTTATTCAAATTGGTCGCCATATTTTGATTCAGTGTATGAACTTTGGAAAAGCAAATTCACAAATTAAAGTTCTGTTAGCTCACAAGGTTCTGCTGTCCTCTCTAGTTTATAAAGAAGAGTTCCCTGTTCATTCCAYGCACATAAATCCTGTCCACCAGAAAAAAACATGTTTTCTTCCTTCATGGCTACCAAACACTAAAAGAAAGATACATCATGTTCAATATCTTATTTTTTTAAATTTATTTTAGTAAATAGTAAAAATAATTTTACCTTTACAGAGCTGTTGTGTTCAGTGATGATATGTAAACACAAACCATCTTCAATATCCCATACCTAGGTGACATGCATGTTAAGGATAAATTTTAAAACACTGGGTAGTTTACCCGGGAGGGGGGGTACTCTTGCCCGTTTAGGGTAGGGATGTGCCGCTGAGCCCTCTGAACCCTGACCCTGTTCCAGAGTAAAATCTGTGAAATTCATACCCTGTTTCAGAGCAAGATCACTGAAAACCATACCCTGCTCCGTTAYTGTGAAAATAGATACCCTGTTCCAGAGAGGAGAGAGCGTGATTTCATACAATACCCTGTTCCAGAGCGAGCGCGGTTTTATGTACCCTGTTCCAGAGTAAAAGTAATTCCATTATTAAGGTCAAYGTAAAGTAACTATATTTACAGTAACGATGGTAGTTTCTGAAGCTAAAATGGTGGTATCCCAGGAAGCCAAGTTTTAAGAGTATTGAAAACTGAAGCCAGATGGATTAGAGAGAAGTCAAATCAGACCTATATATCATTAACGATGGATCAAACCATAGATCTCTAGCTCGATGAAGGAGGTATGGGGTATATTCTCTGGAGATACACAATAATCAGGTCAGGATTTTCATAAGGATACACAAATCGTCTTGTCAGACGATCCTGTTAGTAAAAGTACAGAAGATAAYGGCATATCTTCACCTTGATATTCCTGTGGTTGGTGCATCACAAGCATACAGGTGATTCGTCGTGTATGGTGTTGTAGAACATGAAGCTTTTTTCCTGTCTAAAAACCACAAGATTATCTGTCTACAGTACTAGATATTACTCTAAACCTATATAATGGTACATCACAAATCCTCCCCTCTGATTGGTTAAGCTACTAGTGGTCTATAAGTGATAGATTACTTGTAGGAAAAAGAGCCAATTTTGAAAAATATAAGAATGGGGAATAACTCATGTTTTTAACCTAATTTCAAATTTTTTTATACTTATTTATTTAACCGATAAGTAGATTTAGACTAAATCTCTCGTCCTCATGGTTCAGCCTTTGACCTCATGGGCTATTCATAGAYCATTTGGGCTGTGTTCGGGTTGTGGTCTAATTGTTAGTCATGCTACATATCCAGGGGGAATCCAGGGATTGGTTATGGAGGTGTCCCAAATGAAGAAATGTATTTAGAGAAATTTTGAATCATAAATGTTTTTTTTTTTTGCTTCAATAAAGCTAAGACTAATATTTAGTTAGTATACATGTAATTGTTACTGCATTAGGGTGTGTCCAGGACACTGMAAGACACCCCCACGATCCACCCCTGATACCACAGACAAATGCAGTGTTTTAATTAATAGGTAGCCCATAAAATAAGTTAATCACCCATACCTGTACATCCCATATTATCGCTGTGTTATCATCAGCGGCAGAGAYAAGCCTTAGGAAATAAGAAATGGAATAGAAAGTTATATAATRATTAATTTATTGAATTTCTGAGTAAGTCTTTATGCAACAAAACATTGTCAACCAAGTTCTATCTATTAACATAATTATATTCTGGTCTATTGTCAAATTGAACAAAATTTCTGAGGGTAAAGGGTCATTTTATCAAACATGATTTGAGAGTTTTTAATTCTTTGTGAACCGTGAAATGGCCATTTTTGTAATTAGGTGAAACATGACTTGGTTCAGTCGTAATGTGAATGATAATTAGTCAGTATTGTTATGTAAAGATGGGTGGATGTTATCACAAGTCACAGTCTTTTGTTTGAGGTCATGAATGAGTCTATTGTATTGTGCCGGTAATTGTTGACTTCAGTTGAGCGGTTTTTATTCAAAGTCTGTATACCAGCTTGTAAGGCATTGATGGTAGTTGGTGCTATATATAATACATGTAGCAGAGTCCCAGTCAATGTCGTGTCCAGTATTCTTGTGATGTTCAACGTGATTGTGATTGTTAGGATCCAAACTCTACTCACAAGTGATAGTAAGTCCAGGAATCTAACCTGAGACCCTTGAGATCAAAGGCATTAGTACACTATCACTGCACCACCTTTGACTCCCTTAAATACAATTTTCTCACATTTTAAAATAACAATAGGCACCCAGCCTTAAAGGATAGAGGTGTATATTTATTGCATAGAGGTAAGTTAGAGTTGTTTTTACCTTGTGTTATCAATGACCATGAGCAGATGTACGATGTCAGCATGACCAGACAGTAACATGATTTCTGTGAAYGGATTCTTTGTTTGATTATCTGTGATCTCAGGAACATTGTCAACCTGATGTGAACACAAGTATATCAAAATACTGTCATTACTACTGTATATAACAGTGATGACAATCATAATATATTGAATTTCCAATTCAATCTGGTGCTTTAAAGCTAAATCTAATCCTCAAGCTCAAGAAACTGAGCAATCAATCCCTGTTCTTTGATGGAAAATAAATGAATGAATATAATGACAAACATTAGCATTTCAATGTTATGGCATGTCGTACTGTTTATATATTTTAAGTCAGCAATATCAGCAATAACGCTGCAATGACGTAATGTGCAATCTTAGAATGTTGTAATGTGTATATGCTCAACTGCGACACCTAATATGCCTTTAGACACTACTTTCAATTATTGATTCTATATGATTGAAGTAAATAGTTGAACGGTGAAATATTTCTTCATTTGAAATGAAGGTTCATAATTTGGACTATGACGTCAAACTGGGAAATTGGGTGCATTTGTTTCAACCTGCAATAAACATTGTGCAAACTATGAGTTAAATAATGATACTTTTTCCTTCAACGAGTTAGAATTCATATTTTTAAATATTAAGACTGGTATAACGTCACAGTCAAAAGTTTTGAACTTTATAACTTGAAGAGGCAACATTTAAATGAAGAAATATATCACCACTGAACTGTTCATTTCAATACTGAAAGTATTGTCTAAGGCTGCATTCATGATGTATAGTAGAGGGGACATTTTTCCAATGTGGTGTCTATTTACAGGG